ATAGGACCAAAACAGGAAGAAATAGATAACCAGGAACAGATGATAGATAAAAGTCCACCTGTAAGCCCTGTACTACCTAGACGGTCAACACGAGAAAGCAGACCACCTGATAGGTACCAAGCAAGTGTAGTTTGCCAAGTTAGTAAAATTCCAACTACTGTGGAAGAACTAAAAATGTATCCTGCAAAGGATCAAGAGAACTGGCATACAGCAATGCAAAAGGAACTGAATTCATTCAAACAGATGGGAGTCTATGAGAATGCTAAATTACCTCCAGGTGAAAAGTCCATTGGCTGTAAATGGATATTTAAATTAAAAACAGGTAAAAATGGGACTATTACCCATAAGGCTAGGTTGGTAGCTCAAGGATTTAATCAAACTGCATGTGATTATGATGAAGTGTTTGCACCGAGTTTAAAAGCAACAACCTTGAGAGCAGCTTTAGTGTGGGCAGCTAAGAAAAACTATATCATAAATCATTTAGATGTAGAAACTGCTTATCTGCATGCACCATTGCAGCACACTATATACCTAAAGAAACCTGTAGGGATTAAGGATGATAAAACTAATAATGACTGTTGGAAACTTAAAAAGAGTCTCTATGGATTAAAACAATCTGGTTATGAATGGAACCAATATATTGTTAAGGAGTTAAACAATATAGGGTTTAAAGCAGGTTTAGCTGATCCATGTTTATTTAAAAGACAGACAAATGGAATAGTGTCATTATTATTGTTGTTTACAGATGATATTGCATTAATTACAAAAACTAATAATGAAGCTACTGAAATAATATCATTATTAGGTAAGAGGATAAAATTAAAGCAATTAGGAGAGATAAAACAGTATCTAGGATTGACAATAAATAAAACCAATGGTGGCTATAAGATATCTCAAGAGGATAAGATTTATCAATTACTAAAAACATATAAGATGGAACTTTGTAAACCAGCAAAAACTCCAATGAGTCAGGAATTTTGCCGCACTGATGCTCAGAGTTCAAAATTCGATAAGACTATCTATCAGTCACTAATTGGTAGTCTAGCATACATTAGTAATTGGTCAAGGCCAGATATTGCCTATAGCGTTAATCAATTGGCTCGATTCAACGCTGAACCCGCTGAACGACACTGGCAAGCGGCAAAACGTATCTTAAGATATCTTAAAAGGACAATGCACTATGCATTGTATTTGGAGCCAAAAGATGATTTGATTTTAAGTGCATATGCTGATGCAAGTTTTGCAACAGATATAAACACTAGGAAATCAACTTCAGGAATGGCTATACTGTTAGGAAAAGCATTGATTGGTTGGAGGTCAATTAGACAGCAACACATAAGTATGTCCACAATGGAAGCAGAATTTTCATGTCTATCCTTATTATGTACTGATTTAATTCTGTATAAACAGTTGTTGTTGGATATGGGATTAACTGTTAATGATTCCATTGTAGTGTATGAGGACAATCAAGCAGCCATACAGATGGCTACAAATATTGCTGTAAAAACGAGATCTAAGCATACAGATCTTAGATATCTGAATGTAAGGCAATCTGTAAAGGATGGTTTAATAAGATTGGAATATTGTATGACTGAACAAAATATTCCAATCCCAGAGTCACAACATCTACCTATGAGCAAAATGACTTCAGTCTTCCCAGCAGAATGTGGATGATTAATGTGAATCACTGAATTGACAGTAATAACTGCTCCTGCTGTTTTTTAAAATTATTTATTTTGTCAAGAGATAATAAGATAACAGGTATAAGTATAGACATAGTTATGAATACATGAAATGGATACATATAAGAAAAATAAAAAGAATCAATAGGACAGGGATGGTAGGCACGTTGGTGCGCTTATTCACGTCCCCTACAGACCTCTTAGGAAAGGGGTGAGGTCAATAGAAGACAGTCTAAGGTTAAAGTTTTTGGGGTTTGGGAAAGAAACCACAGAGTCAGATAGAGTATTCCAGAGATTGACCATTCTATTACTTAAGTCATATTTCCTGCAATCAAGTTTGATGCGGTTTACCTTGAGTTTGTATATATTGTGTGCTCTTGTATTGTTATGGTTGAAGCTGAAGTATTCATTGACAGATAGGACATTGTAATATATAATTTTATGTACTATACTTAGATCGGACTGAAGGCGGCGTAATTCTAGGTTTTCTAGGTCTAGAATTTCAAGTTTGGTGGCATAAGGTATTCTGCAACGAGTAGAGGAGTGGAGAACTCTTCTTGTGAAATATTTCTGGACTTTCTCAACTGTATTAATATCAGATATGTAATGCGGGTTCCAGACTGATGAGCTGTATTCAAGTATTGGTCCAGCAAATGTTTTGTATGCTCCAGTTAGTAGTGTGAAATTACCAGAGAAAAAGCTACATAGGATTAGGTTAACAACTCTTAATGCCTTTTTGGCTATGTAGTTACAGTGGGCTCTAGCACTTAGATCATTAGAGATGAGTACTCCAAGGTCCTTGACAGAGTTTGGATCCTCAACAAGGTCTTGACTATTCAGCTTGTATTTTATTTTCTTATTTTTTTGCCAATATGTAAAACAGAGCATTTATTTGTTGAGATTTGAAGTTGCCATTTGTTTGACCATTCTGATACATAGTCAAGGTCTTTTTGAAGGGTAGCAGTATTGTTGGTGGTGTTGAATAGCTTTACATCATCAGCAAAGAGAATGCAGTTGCTCTTAATATGATCACAGAGGTCATTTATGTAGAGTATGAAGAGAGTTGGTCCTAGAACACTGCCTTGAGGGACACCACTGTTGACAGGTACAGAATTTGATAGGATGCTCCTAATTTTGACCATTTGTTGTCTGACAGGAATGCTTCTATCCTGTTATGCAGATGTCCAGAGATACCATAAGATTTTAGTTTTAGGAGTAGTTTGTCGTGTACCACTGAATCAAAGGCTTTACAGAAGGCCAAGTAGATTGCGTCTATTGCTTTGCCCTGATCGAGTTGTGTAGTCCATATGTTTTTGCAGTGTAAGAGTTGCAGATTACAGGATAGTTTTTTTCTGAAACCAGATTGTTTATTAGAGAGTAGGTTGTTTGTCTCTAAGTGGAGGATAATGGATTGGTTAAAAATTGATTCCATGACTTTACAGGTGACGCAGCATAAAGAGATTGGTCTGTAATTTTCAACTAGGCTGGGGTCTCCCTTTTTGAAGATGGGGATGACCGTGGCTAGTGACCATAGGTTTGGCAAGGAGCTGGTCCTGAAAGATTTTTCAAAGATTATGCTCAGAGGTTTGGCTATGGCAGTGGATAGCTTTTTTAAGAAGTAGGCACATATTCCATCCGATCCAATAGATAGAGATGGTTTTAGATTGCGTAGTGCTTTTTCAACATTGTCTTCTGTAAAATCGATATGTATTAGATAATTGTACTTGTCTGTGGTTCAACAAGGAAATACTGGACATGATCCATTGCTGTTTACAAATACTGAGCCAAAGAATGTGTTAAAGAGGTTGTCTTTAATGGTGTCATCGTTGCAGTCTTTACCATTAGGTCCTTTCAGGGGTGGGATTGACCTTGAGTCTTTTAGTTTGTTGTTTACAAAATTGTAGAAAGCGCAGGTGGAATTAGTGCGTAGAAGGTTTTCCTCTTGTTTAATGTGATAATTGGTGCATTCAGTCTTTATCTGGTGGCACAAATTTTTGTATTGGCTTTTGAAGTTGGCAACGTGACCAGATTTGTTTTTCCGCCAAAGTGAGATTGTGGATTTGCGGTTTTCATGAGCTGTAAGCCATAATCATCACAATTATGACAAATCATGGCTTGAACTTTCTTGCTTTGCATGTAATGAGTCTATCTCATATATTAGTTTCACCTTTTAAGTTGCATTACTGAAATAAATGAACTTTTGCACATATTCTAATTTTTTGAGTTTCACCTGTATTTGATTTTCTACCAATGGCATATCTAAAATGGTAAACAGATAGTTGAAAAACGAATGAAGGAAAAGTGGTGGTTAATTAGACCACCGGGACAAAAAAGTGCTTTAATAAGCGACATTTTGCTGTTGAATGGCACCTCGATAGCCAATCGTGTTTCCCCTAGTTTTAGGATGGGCATAGTCACGTTTCAAGACACTTGCAAGGAGCATAGCTTTGAACAATGTAGAGGACAGTTTCCGGTGTTCGCCACTGCCCTTTCCCTTTAAAAATAAATGGCACCTCCTCCTTCCCATCCTTCTGTCACAGTGTAATTCCCTTATAGTTGCAAGACGAGGTTTGAATGTGAACGCTCTTTGACAGGCACTTCAGGTGATCAGTGTGTTGCTTCTTCCCGCCCCTTAGAAGACAAGACACCAAAGTTCGCAGATTTCTTGGTGTGACTGACATCTACGTCCCCCCAATAAATTATCCGAGAAACTGCCTCTGATCCTTATTGTAGAAAGGTTCTCATTTCAGCAATGACAATTCACGATCATGATGAGGCAGCGTTCCCCGATACTTCCCCACTTGTGTCTACTGACCGCAAAAAAAGGATCCTGCGCCTGCCGAGCCCTTTCTCTAAAGGGGTCTCCAATCTTGGCAACTTTAAGACTTGTGGACTTCAACTCCCAGAGTTCTTCAGCCAGCAAAACAAAAAAGTTGCCAAGGTTGGAGACCCCTGCTCTAAATCAAGAGTCCCCAACTTCCAGTGCATGGACCGGCACCGGTCCGTGGCATGCCAGAAACTTGGCCGCACAAACAAGCGAAGCCCCATTCGCGGGATGCAGGCAGCACACAAAACCACGCCCACTCTGGAACCAGTCCCTGGTACCCAAAAGAGACCACTGCTCTAAAAGCGCCCAATACGGTTTGAAATAGCGTGAGGGAGGGTTCCTACCGACCAATGAAAACCTGGGAGGTGGGACTGCCCTCTTTTCCTCCCTCCCCTTCGAGTGACGGCGAGGCCGCCCAATGGAACGCCCAGTCCCTTCCCCGCCCCTCGACTGAACAAGGCTGGGGGAGTCAGACCAGCGGTTCTCTTTCTTGTCTCATTCGCAAGATGGCGGAGGCTGCAAACTGCACCATGGAGGTGAGGGGGGGGGCGGAGAGACAGAAACAAGGGGGGAGCCGGAGCCTGCCCTTAGTCCCCTCTCAGGGGCCCTAAGCCTTCACCCACCGAGTCTCTTCCAGCACCTCATAGCGCGATAGGAACGGGAGGGGTTCCGCAACCGAGACCCCTCCGAAGCCCCCCCCCCCCTTCACGGCTCCTGGGGAAGGTCTGCTCTCCACCGTCTAAGTGACCAAACCCCTTTTTCTCACTTCTAGTGGCCCCTTAAATACCATCCCCGCCTTTTTCTTCTCCATAGCGGTCCATTTGTTTCGTCGTCGCCGTCTCCCCCAGTTCCGGACTGTCCCCACATAGGAGGGAGGGGTCAGGGAAAAAGGCGCTTCTTCCTCTTCCGAGATACGTGTGTCTCGTTAACTTAGGCGACAAAACATCGGCTTTTTCCAATCTGATAGGCTCCCCTTCCGACGTTTCAACCCGTTTTCGCGAATCTTCCCCAAACCTCAAAAACTTTAACCTTAGACTGTCTACAATTGACCTCACCCCTTTCCTAAGAGGTCTGTAGGGGGCGTGCATAAGAGCACCAACGTGCCTACCGTCCCTGTCCTATTGTTTTATTTTTCTTATATGTATCCATTTCATGTATTCATAACTATGTTATACCTGTTATCTTATAATCGCTTGACAAAATAAATGAAAATAAAATAAACTCTCGCACGCTTCCCCCACCCCGCTTTAACGAGGTTCTTTCCTCATGGGAGCCGCATGGCAGGCTTGCCCCATTGAGCTCCGGCCCCCCGCCGCCGCGGGTCCTCCTCAGGGCTGCGTGGGGTTCCTGCTCCCCGGATGGTTTAGCTTTTACCGCGGCCCATGGACCCTTTGCTGCAGGCCCCCCCCCCCGAAAAAAAAGTTGTGCTCCCTTCTGCTGGAAAAGACCCCGAAGCTGTCACAGATACTGAAGTCTTTGTTCGCCGACGCTCCGAATTTTTCGACGGGCTGTGGCGCTGTCTCCTTGGCGCCTTCTTTGGGCAACTCTTGCTGGTTTTCGTAATATGGGCTATTGCGGATTGCCGAATCCTTCCCACGTGGAAATACAGCACCAGCCCACAGACCCTTTGCCCAGTCCCATCTGTTCCCCCCCCCCGCCATTTTTCAATTTCATATTTGCCAGTAAAAAAATAAAAGGGTGCTTGTTTCCACCATGATTTTGTGAAGTGGTCCCTTCCCTCTTAATTTTGCCCCGTCTTCTGTCTGAAAGGAAACGGTGGGCCTTGATGCCATTGCTTCCCTCAGGCTGGTTGCTCTTTAACTTTGACAGGCCCAATGTACTCATTTTCCTAAGGAGGCTCTTTTCTATTTAGAATATAGAATAACAGTGGGAAGGGATGTTGGAGGTCTTCCAGCCCAACCCCCTGCACAGGCAGGAAACTATACCATTTCAGACAAATGGTAATGTCCAGTCTGTTCTTAAAATATCTGATGCCTTGTGGTGAGTTACTGCCTTCTGGCTCATTGTTCCCTTATGCTAGGAGGGTTTGTGCATCTTGTGGTAGCCTAACACTTTATATGGGTTTACTCTGGACTGAAGACATTTCTGAAACTAAACCTGACAAGTAAAATGGGCAAATTTTGAGGAGGATCTGCTTTGATATGCTATGATTTGTATAAGAGATCTTTAAAAAAATATTTTTATTGTGCATTTTTCCTTAATATTCATCACAGTTCCAATTTTACAATGTCAATATGTACTGGTTATATCAAGTTCTTTTCTTTTACATCATAGTATACATCCTAATTAAAATTATCATACAGTATAATCTCTTTTGACTACATAATATTATACATCTTGATTATAATTATTTTCTTATTTATGCCATAATATGCTGTTACATTTATAATTTTGTGCATTTTAAACTATATTCACGTACATTGTTTATTCTTATTTCAATATATCTGTATTTGTTTCTGTTTTGTTAATCATCTTTCATTGTTAAATACTAATCTCTGCATCTATTATTTATCCAATTATCCAATACATCCCATGTTAGGTAATATTCTTTTTCCTCTTTGTCCTTAAGTTCCATTGTTAGTCTGTCCAGTTTGGCACATTCTAGTATTTTTTTTATTACTTCCTCATCTGTGGGTGTACTTTCCCTTTTCCAATTTTGTGCATATATGATTCTAGCTGCAGTTATTATGTGTATAAATATATGAATATTTTATTATGTTTTCCCGATGTTATCCCTAATAAGAATAGTTCCGGTTTCAGATCAGGTCCACCACATATGGTAGGATCTCGGCCCGTTTACATTTCCAACATTCTGGTGACATATTTGGAAACATTTTTGCCAAACTTGCTGGTGGCAAGTTCCATCTCTAAAACATTTTGTATAGGTTTTCTCTGTACGCTGTTGACAATGTTAATTTATAATTTCTCTCCCACAATTTTTGCCAATTATCTAATTCTATAGTGTACCCAAAAATCTTTGCCCATACAATCATTGTTTCTTTTACGTACTCTTCTTCCATTTTAAAATTCAATTTATCTATTTCTAGCAGTATTTTGTCTAGTTCTTGGGGTTCCTTATAGAATCCATACATTTCTAAATCCTCCTTGTGTCTTGTTTGCATTTGGATAAATGGTCACCAGTCCAAATCAATTCCCTGTTTTTTTTAATTCCTGTTTAGATTTCAGACCCCCCCTGTTCATTAATTATGTCTTTGTATCTTACAATCTTATCTGGATCTAAAACATTAGGATATATTAGCGCTTCCATCGTGGAGAGCCAGACTGGTTTTTTCATATAGTGATTCTGTTTGATTTTTTCCCATACTGATGACAAAACATTTCTAATATAATGCCTTTGGAAGTATCTGTGTAGCTTACTTTTCCTGTACCATATAAATGCATGCCACCCCAATTGTAAATCATGTCCTTCTATTGTCAATATTCTTTTGTTTTTTAAATTTATCCACTCCTTCACCCATGTGAGTATTGAAACCTGATAATACAGCTCCCAATCTTGGAGCCCGAAACCACCCTTGTTTTTAGTGTCTTGTAGCATTTTCATTTTAATTCTTGGTTTTTTTCCCTGCCAGATGAACTTAGAAATCAGTCTATTTAAGTCCTGAAAGCACTTTTTCCTAATTTTATCGAGATTGCTTGAAATAAAAATAGCAGTTTCAGTAAAATGTTCATTTTTGTTGTGGGTATCCTTCCAACCAGTGACAGATGTAGGTTTTCCCATTTAGTTTTGCCATCTTTATTTGCTGTATTAGTTTAGTATAGTTGTCATCTTTGATGGATGTGCATCTTGCTGTTAGCCAAATTCCCAGGTATTTAACTTTTTTAGTTACCTGCATGCCCATCTTTTCTGTCAATTTGTTTTCCTGTTTGTAAGGTTTTTTGTCAATATTTTGGTCTTTTCCTTATTTATGTCCTGCCACTGCACCAAACTCTTCTATTTTTTTATTAATTTGGGTCCTGTTCCTAAAGATTCTTCCAAGATGAATACTAAGTCATCTGCAAATGCTTGCACTTTGTATTGTTATTTTTTTTTTTCAGGCCTTTTATTTCTGGGTCTTGTCTGGTCTAAGTAAAACTTCCAGGGTTAATATGAATAGAAGTGGGGACAGTTAGGGTTAGGGGGGTTGTATAAGAGATCTTTTGAGGGCAGGTAAGATTCCAGGGTCTTCAGAGAAAGCTTGGATGAGGCTGGGGTAAAATTTGGGTGAAAGATGAAGCTCAAGGTGAGTAGTAACTAAACTTAGGAATGTTGGTTAATAATGTATTGACTTCAGGGAGCTGCAAATTTTGGAAAAAGATTGGATGAATTATTTGAATTGGCAGATGACAGAGGTTGAAAAAGGTTGGAAGGAAATAATTATGTACTGTATATCTAAATGAGAAATTGAAGTATCTCCAATCTCCTATTCACATGGTCACAGAAACACCATTGTTGGGAATCCTTTCCATTCTCATCCATGCTGCGACGAGAGTCCAGGATAATATGACTCCTCCCTCTGATGTCATTGAGCTGACTCTGCCACTATATAAAAAGCCAGCCCCTAGATGGCTCTCCAGCTTTTGACTCAGCTTGGTGTCTATAGAGTAGTACATCTGGAAGCATTAAAGAATTTAAAGCATGTTAGCAATTGTTCAGCAACAGCAATCTCTTCAAAAGCCTCAAAACTAAAAAGAAGGCTTCTGCACAGCTCCCAGGGATCCGGTGGAGCTGTGCTTCAGGGAGAGTGGGGATCCTCAACGCTGCCCCTTTAAGAAACTGCGATTGCAGGGACAGATCTGCTGAGCCTCCCACACAGTTTCTAAGCCTGAGCTCCATTTGCCACTTCGCAACTGTTTCCACTTCATTGCTGTTTGCTGGGGGCTTTTCAGAGCCTAAGGAGGGAGTGAGTAGACCAGGCCGCCCCAAGGCCAGTGCACGTGATGGATGGCCATTTTGTTTGTGGAAGCGGCCATTACCTGGACCTCACAGCTAACACAGGTCGCCTGGCCCTCACAACAGGCAGCACTGCTATAGGGGAAGTTTCCAGCACCCCTTGTGTCTGTCCTGTTTTAGCAATGGAAAGTGGATTGGCCCAGTCAGACCCTTCTGGTCTGGAACAAGCCCAGAGTTCCCAAGGCTCAGGGAGGAAGATAAGATGGCAAAGAGGTCACTCTGCAAGAGAAGCTGCAGCAAAAATCCGAGCCAAGACCCTGGCCCCCAAGAAGACTTCCAAATCAGAACTCAGAGCTGAAAAAAGAAGGCATGCTGCTTTTGAAAAGCAGTTTGCTAAGAATCTGGAGCAGATGAGGAACCAGATACAACAGGCTTTGTAGTCTGGGGAAGTGCAGGTTTGCCCAGAGGTTACAGCCAGGGCGAGGGAGGCTGAATCTAGTGCTGCTAGCCATCTTTTAGCTTGGTCTCCGGAGAGGTTTGGAGGAGGAAGTTTTACCCCAGGATTTAAGTAGGTCTGGGCCTAACTTCCCACAGGCTGCCTGGGGATCAGGTCCCCCTTACCCC